CCCTCCCCCCCCCCGCCCTGGGCGGTCCGCCGGCGGCTGCCAGCCCATGGCTCGCCCTGACCACGCGACTGCCAGAAGCCTGAGGAGCAGCCGTGGCGCAGGCAGCGCTGGGCCAGGCTCAGGCTGGGCACCCCGGTGACAAGGCAGCCTCCCACCCACGGGGTCGAGGGGCTGAGTCCAACCGGGCAGGGATGAGACGCTTCCCATCAGTCACCCGGCCTGATCCTGGGGCTCTCCCGCTCCTCTACCAACCCATCCGCAGCCAATGCACATCCCAACTTCCACCTCCCTTGGGAACATCCAGCCTCTGTGCCGGCACCCCTTCCACATCCCTTGGGAAAATCCTGGCTCCATGCTGGCACCCCACCATTCCCGTGCCACCGGTTTCATGCCTAAAAGGGTCCGTGCATCCCCCACCTCATCTAATCCCTCCTGCCCTGGGAAGCAGCCGGCTTCCTCCTCTGCACAGCCCTCGCTGCAGGTAATTAAACAGCGCCAGGGCCAGGACAAACTTCCCGCTGGGCTCCGTGCACATCGTAAATCAAACAGGAGGAAGAGGGAGAGCAACAGGAGCCAGAGCCAGCGGGTGCGTTTCCTCGGGGGAAGCGGCCGGCAGCTCCCTTCCGCCGCCTGGACGGGTATTGTCCTGCCTGGGGCTGTGCCAGGAAAAGCTGCCTCCACCGGGACCCCTGTCCGGGACGTCTCCCGCACCACTCCTCCCGCTTGCGGCAAAGGTGCCCAAAAGGTGCCCAAAGCCGGGGGACATCCTCCCACAGCTCTCCGACCCCATTACTCTTGGTCTGATGGAATGGGCTGGACCCAGGGCAGCAGCTTCTGCCTTCACCCAGCTCCAAAACAAAGGGCCAGGCCAGGCGATGGGACCTGCAGGCTCCCAACCACGTGCAAATTGCCCCAGTGACCCCGCGATGTGCAAAACCTGATGGGGTCCCCGTGATGTGCAAACCTCGACAGCATCCTCGCAACGTGCAAACTGCCCCCGGGCCGCCGGTGGGCTGGGCTGGGCGGCGAAGCAAGCGGCAGGCTGGATTTGAGCCGGCGAGGATGAGCAACGGAGGCAGACAGCCCCGGCACGCAGCAGCAGCGAGAGGGTTAAGTCCTCACACCCACGGCCCTGCCACCGCCAGCACCTGGCGGCACGGCCACACAAAGCCAGCCTTGTCCCCGGCCGGCTGCCATCACCGCAGCACCGGTTCAAAGAGAAGCCGCTCTCCACCTGGGCTGAAGTCCTGACGGGGAAGACCGTGCCAGCCACTTTGGTGCCAAAGGCTGATTTTCGGCAGCTTTGGCCACTCCCCTGGGCAAGGGGGCTCGGTGCTGCCGGGGCTGGGCACAGGGACCCCCAGGTGCTGGAGGCAGGGGACTGCGCACGATCCCAGCTTCCTTCGGAAGAAATGAAAACGTTGTTTCTAGCCCTGGTGTTCCCACAGAACAGCAGGGTGGTACAAAGCGAAGCGCCACTGGGGAGGCTGGACAGCGAGCGGAGGAGGAGGAGGATGCGCCGGGACCCAACCATCCCCGCAGAGGCAGGGCTACGCTTCGCCCCGGGCTCGCGCCTCTGTTTCCCCCTCTTGCCGTTGTACCGATGCCAACACAGGAAACTTGGGGCCAAAACTGGAGCCGCTCCGCTCCATTACAACAAAAAGCCACGTCAGGGACGGGGCAGCCTGGGCACCTCGACCTGGCTCAGGTACTGTCCGGTACCCATGCCCCAGCCCCCCCCAGGACCCCCAGCCTCATGGGCCACGGGGTGAGCTCCCCCGGGACCCCGAGCCCCCAGGCTGGCAGGGGACGGGCCTGGGGGAGCTATTTTTAAAGCTCCGGACTCCTTTGGGCCCTTTCCCTCACCAGGGGCACAAGCAGGGCAGCCCCCGCCCCGGCTCAGCCACGCGCTGCCATGCAGCCCGAGCCGCTCCACCGGCGTGGCCGGGGCTGGACATGGGGAGGGCTCTCCCCGGCTCTCCTCCTGAGCCAAAATACTGAGGTCATGAGGAATGTGAGAAGAACAGAGTCCAGAGCAACCCTGGCCAGCGCGACTTGATTTATCTCAGCCAGGCACGCTTCCCTCGAAGCTGCGCGCAGGCGATAAGCCCCGAAGCTCAGGGCTGAGGCTGTTCCAAAGTTAAAGGGAAACCACTGAGCAAGCACACGGCTTCCTCCGCTGCCAGCGACCTGCCGGGATTCGGGCTCCTCGCACGGAGCCAGCTGTCACGTGTGCCCATCACCTGCGGTGTCACCCGCCGGCGCTGCAGGCTGGATGCGGACGGGAGGCATCCAGGGCTCATCACACCTTCCCGGCCATCCGTCCCGTCCCCATCCCCTGCCCCGGGGCTGTACAGGACAGCCCGTGCTCCGTGCCACCCCCTGTCCCTGCGCCCGCTCGCCCAGGCCACCTTGCCCACGCCGTCCAGGCTGGGGCTGCTCCTGGAGGAGCCGGATCCCGTGCGGGTGGGTGTGCTGGCGCTGACCCAGGGAGGGAAAGGGAAACGCTTCGATCTTCTCAACAGCCTAATTTCAGGGTTGGGCTGTTATTTCTGGAGTTGTCGTCATCGTCGGCCTGGTTGGTTGGGAGACCGCGGGGGCTGCTCAGGCTCTGCGCCCGCTCCAGCACCTTGGGGACCTCCCTGAGCTCACACAACACCTGGACAACAGGCGCACAGTCCGTCCGCAGACGTACTGACGTGGGGATCAGCTCTCTGTGCCCTGTCACACCTACAGCTCTATCGGGCTCCGGTATCTCCATGAGAAAACATCTACCACTTGTCCTGCGCCCTTGCCACAGATGCCCACCAGCACCGCCCAGATTCCCTCGGGGCTGGTGACAACACAGGGAGTTGGCAACGAGCCCCAGGGGCCCGGGATTGCCCTGCTGCAAGGAGGTGCTCAGGGATGACATGGTTAAACTTACACTCGGGGTGCACAGGCACAGTTGGGGTACACGCACAGCCCTGTGGCGGGTTCCCCATGTACACGCAGGGGGCACCCCGCAACCCGGCGGCCCTCCCTTGCCCTCCAACACCCCC